AGCCTTTTATTATATAGGATATTATATAGGATGAGATTGAACCTCAGAGGGAAGGCAGGGATGAGAGGGGGTGGGAAGAGATCAACCAAAGAGCTTGTATGCATATATACATAACCTATGGACACAGACAATAGGGTGGTGAGGACCTGGGGAGGGGGGTGGGAGTGAGCTAGAAGGGGTCATTGGGGGAATAAGGGACATACATAATACTTTCAAAAACAAAGATTTTTTAAATATTAAAAAAAGAAAAGATGAGATGGAACAATGTGAAGGCTTGTTCTTCTCTGAGGTCTGGACCCATGCATTAGCCACTCTATCATTTCACTTTGGTTGTGCATTTTACCTCCACAGGACCAGCTGTCAGCTGACATGTACAGTTTTGTGGCCAAAGAAATCGACTATGCAAACTACTTCCAAACGGTAAGGGTCCATGAAGGTGAGACAACTTACAGTCCGTTTGCAAGAGTCCTGGTGTGGACAGGAAGGAGTGTGGGCATGGGACTGAGGCCCCGTGGCTGAGCATGTGATGGAAAAGAGCGGGATGTGACTGTTCTACCTGTGAAAAAACCCTGCCTTCTCTTTCTCCTTGTATGGATCCCCCCCTAGAAAACCCTAAAAGCAACCTCATTCATGAAGGTCATTGCAACTCAGAGGCCTATGCAGTGACTCCCAGGCCGGGGTGGTTTTGCTGCCTCCTCCAGGAGACATTTGGCAATGGCTGAGGACATTTCTAGCTGCCACCTTTGGGGGAGGTGCTATTGGCTTCTAGTGGGTAGAGGTCAGGGATGCTGCTAAGCATCCTGCAATGCACAGAACAGCCCATACACAAAGAATTTTCCAGACGGAAGTAGGGCCAAGCCTGAAAACCCTGGTGTATCATAAACAAGGACCTGGGAAGATGGTAACCCCGCCCCCAGCACAGATTGGGTTTAACCTGGATTTTTGCCGGGATGATGACAGGTAGGTAAACGATGATTGGTGTGACCTCTTTACCTTCTTCTCGTTGAGGAAAGCAGGTTTAAAGAGAGAGAAACAGGATCTGAGTTGAGAAAAGTATAAATTAAAAATAGGGAAGTGATGGGATGATAAGAAAGATAAAGAGAAGGAACGGGCGGGGGGGGCATCCTGAGAGGTTGAGGGTGCTTGGCTAAGTGTGCGAATGGCTGTGGGCTGTCGGCCATCTTCCAGCACTTCCATCAGTGGACAGAAGTCCAGAGGCGTGTCCTCTACCCTGAAAAAGCAGATATGCATTCCTTCCAACCTAGAAAGTTATTTTGAAGGAGTTTACTTTCAAGTACACTCCATTGCTTTTGTTGGTGAAGGTAATATTCAACTTCAGGGTTGTTAAAACTAATGAAATGTTGACATTGCAAGCATTATTAGGCTGCCTAATTGTCATTTGTATGCCATTTATTTCAATATTCTGATTTTCTAAAAATTCATTTTATTTTTAGTTGGAAACAATAGTATCTACCCTCCACACTAAGCGTTTAAATTGTGAGTCATTCTCCTTCCCTCATAGATGCCCCGTTTTTGAGGGGGAAGGAGGAGTTCAGAAGATAAATGAAGTAACTATTGCTCACAGGTTTTCCTCGGCTCTTAGCCACAGTTCAGCAGCTGTTTTAGCAGTGGGATGGCCAACATAGCTGGGAGGGACTGTTCCGGGAGCCATATCATTATAACCAAAGCAATTTTACCTCCCTGGGGCCTTGCAGAGGATTGTGGGTCAAGACACAAGTTTCTGATCAGTTATATCTTTGCAGAAAACAAGATGTGTTGTGTGTGTGTGTTTGTGTGTGTGTGTGCATGCACACACACACACACACATTGGTTAATGGCCTTTAGCTCTAATAGGCAAATGGATTTCTCAATGTGGTTTTCATTTATATTCTGCTATCATCTTGCCTCTCTGTGTTGCCTTTTGCTTTGGGGGGTGCTTGGTACGGTAAGATGGCAGGAAAGGCGAGCTCTCTAGGTCGGGCTCCAGCTCTGGGGTCCCCCTCACCTGGACGGTTCTCCCACCTCCCACATTCCCACTGTGGCTGTTGCTACAGAGACTAAGGGGAAGTGTGCCCATGGTTTTGGGTGATTGAGGAAGGAGTAGGGGCTCCACCCCCTTCCCTGAGAGTAACCAGCACCTTCAGGCAGAGAGCCCCAAGGGCACAGCAGCCTGTGCTCCCAGGCCTTTGGAAAAGGGTAACGCCTGCTCTTGTGTCTTCTCAGCTCATAGAAGTGCAAGCTGAGTACCACAGGAAGTCGCTGGCGCTCTTACAGGCCGTGCTGCCGCAGATAAAAGCACAGCAGGGTGAGTGCACATCTGTGTGACCTGGAGGGAGGGTTGGGCTGCTCGCCTTCCCAGAGGCCACCCCGGCCTACATCCCTTCACCCTCCACTCTCCCCACGGGTCACGTTCGATGGGCTGCCAGCACTTCACAGGCCGGTGCCTGGTCCAGTTGCGGTGAAGCCGAGCACACACAGACCCACTGTCCCCAGGGATGAGGGGCCGTGGATGTGAGTGGAAGTGTGTGTTACCTGTTACGGGAGGCCCCACAGCCCTGCACACAGCCAGTTAGCATCTACCCTGCCCTGTCCTCTCAGTCACCCTAAACCGCAGGGACGGAGGCTCAACTGGGGGGCCTCCGTGTCTTTCATGGTCTTAGGATAATCTGTGTAAGAGGAAAGACATGGTCCAGCAGGGCGTCCTTCACTCACCCCTCACGGCCTCCTTTTTGCATCCCCCGCACCCCCCGCAGAGGCCTGGGTGGAGAAGCCGTCCTTCGGGAAGCCCCTGGAGGAGCACCTCACCATCAGCGGCCGGGAGATCGCCTTCCCCATCGAGGCCTGCGTCACGATGCTGCTAGAGTGCGGGATGCAGGAGGAGGTAGGTCCGCACGGCCAGCCCCAGCCCTGGCAGCATCTTCTCTCCTGGCACCATCCCCACCTGGCCCCCAAAATCAAACATGGCAACATGGGGTACAGCCTCTCTCCTGCAGAGCCCAGATGGGTCCTGCTCTCGCCTATGAGCCGTCCCTTCACAGGGAGACTGATAACACTGGCCGTGAGGAACGTCCAGCCACAGTCCAGCCATTCCTTCTTCATGTTTGTTGTTGTTGTTATTAATCCTCATCCAAGGATATTTTTCCATTGAGAGAGTGGAAGGGAGGGGGAGAGACACATCGATTGGTTGCCTCCCGCATGCACCCTGACCAGGGCCAGGGGTCGGGTCAGCTACCAAGGTATGTGCCCTTGACCAGAATCGAACCCAGGACCCTTCAGTCCAAGGGCCAACGCTCTAACCACTGAGAAAAACTAGCGAGGGCACCTTCTTCATGTTTAATATGAGTCTTGGCGGCTGCTGTTGCTTTGCCTTTGTTTTCCTCCTCCTTCCCTACTACTCCCCTTCCCCCTCCTCCTCCTTTGTCTTCTTCCTAAGTTCCAATTTTAAAAATAGACCTTTTAGAATATATGCATCCCTACGTTCACTGCAGTGTTATTTGCAATAGCCATGGTTTGGAAGCAGCCCAGGTATCCATCAGTGAATGACTGGATAACAAATCTGTGGTACATTTACATAATGGAATACTACTTGGCCATAAAAAAGAAGGAAATCTTACCTTTTATGGATGGACCTGGAGAGCATTATGCTGAGTGAAATAAGTCTTTCATGGAAAGACAAGTACCAGATGATTTCACTCATGTGGAACCTAATGAACAAAAAAACTAGCAAACAAAATAAAAACAGACTCATAGAGCCTGGCCACTGGGGCTCAGTTGGTTGAGCGCCGACCCATGAATCAGGCTCGATTCCCAGCCAGGGCACATGCTCAGTTGCAGGCTCAATCCCCAGTAGGGAGTGTGCAGGAGGCAGTTGATCAATAATTCTCTCTCATCATTGATGGTTCTATCTCTCCCTCTCCCATCCTCTCTCTGAAATCAATAAAAATGTATTTTTTTTTTTGGGGGGGGGACAGACTCAGATACAGAGAACAAACTGACAGCTGTCAGAGGGGAAGGGGGTTGGGAGGAGGTAGGAACAGGTAAAGGGGGGATAAACAGTGATGAAAGGAGACTTGACTTGGTATGCTGGCCGCTCCCTCTATGTCAGGCTGTTCTGGATGCTGGCCATTCAAAAGGAAAGAGAATAAGTGTCTTTTGACTAAGTTTTCAGTGCCAGGCATTTTCTCATGTTATCAATTCAAGATGAGAAGATCTGTAAGTCCCTGGGGCACAGTTTCATAGAGGGCCTTTTCCTTCCCATCTTTTTTTTTTTAATTGTGGAAAAACTTAATGTTAAGATAAGCAGCCTCATCCCCTGGCTTGGGTCAGCCCTGTTCCATTGCCACTTCCACGTCCTGCCCCCACCCTGCTGTGGGTGTTTTGAAGCCACTCCCAGACATTATATCACCTCGTCTATAATACTGCAGTAGGTTTCTCCAGAAGATTAGGAATATTTTTAGATATAACTATAACATTATTACATACGAAAAGTAAAATAATTTATCAATATCTTTAAATTTCTAACAAGTATAAACTAGATTTTGAAGAACAGAAGTCAGGTGAGCTGGCATCTCCTGTCTCATCTCCTGACCCTGGGCCTCTCTGCCTCACGTCAGACCTTCACTATCTCACTTTAATCCTTCCCTACTATGCATCAGCAGATACGTTAGTAACAACTGCACTCTGGTTTCCTCAACAGAGTAAAGTCCTGTTTCCACTCAGCCGCAGCCTCGTGCTCCTTCCCTCAGCTCTTTGGGTTTGTTTTCTGTGCTCCCAATTTCTTAAGATAACTCAGCATTTCTGAGTCTGCATCCGCACCACCACCCACTCCTCCTTTCCGGGACTCACTATGTGAACAGTCACGTTCTCCTCCCGTTTTTGTGTCTCTCAATGGAACAGTCTTCTCAGTTACATAGTCAAGCTGAAGCTGTGCTTGGTGACTCTGCTTCCTTCTCCTGGCCTGTCCATTGCCGAGTGTGATTCTCTCCCTGCGTGGCTGTGTGTGTCCAGCAGGTCCTACCTCTTCTGAGAGCTTCGGCTGCTGTCTGCATCATGGCTGCTGCGCTTGCTCCCTAACCAGACACGTTTGGGAGCTTCCTCGCATGTATGCCCGAGATCTCTGGGAATCTGTCCGCCTATACTAAGAAGGGAGTGACTGACCTCAGCAGACCCCAACTCAGACCAGGAACATTTTCTCCTAAAGGAATTTGGGAATTGGGGACCCTCCATGTAAAGTAGCCAGGAGCCTCCACCAGGAGCCTCCGCCAGGAGGGCTGCATCACAGAATGCCAGGAGCTGAGAAGGTGAAATAGAAACTACAAGGTCTTCAACCCATGTCCAACTTCCTGTCTGGGACCTGGGGTTCCTTTCCAAGTCTGACCTGCATGTGTCTCCTCTCCACCTACCCCGGCCTCTTCTCTTTCTCTTCCTAGTTCACGTTAACTTCACAGAAGGTAGGGGTTTCACTTGAAAAGGATGACAGCAATTCAAAAATAACTCTGATGCCACACCAGCATGGCTCAGTGGTTGAGGGTCGACCTATGAACAAGGAGGTCATGGTTCAATTCCTAGTCAAGGCATATGCCTGGGTTTCGAGCTCGATCCCCGGTATGGGGCATCCAGGAGGCAACTGATCAATGATTCTCTCTCATCATTGATGTTTCTCTCTCTCTTTCCCTCTCCCTTCCTCTCTGAAATCAATAAAAATGTATTTTTTTTAAAGTAACTCTGAGAACAGAACATGAAGGGCTGAAGGGAGCATGCCTCCCTCAAACACCATCCCGTCTACCTTACCCTGAGGACACAGGCTTCATTTGGATCTAAAAGTATATCCCTGGAGAAATTAAAAATGGCAGCAGAGTAAGTGGATGCTGCATGAACATGTTCCTAGGACCAAACTGGAATTACAACTCAAATACAGAAAAACTCCCTGAATAATCATCTGAAGACTCACTGGAGAGAACCCTGATAACTGAGGACAGAAAGTGGAGACCACGTAGAGACTGACAATTGCTAAGTAGGTGGTTTTGCCTGGGGGAAAGACAGCTGACCTACCCTATTGGAAAACACCTTGCCCCAAGGAGTGGAGTTGCTGAGGCCCATTAAGAGACTGATGATAATAATTAGCCTCCAAGCAGAAGCAATCACCCCACCCTGTTAGGAAAAACTCTATTCACACTAGTGGATGATTGCCTGAGGGCAATTCAAGACTAAATCCTACAGTCTGCAAGCAGAGGCAGTCTCTGGAGGCTTTGAGTCTTTGCCTGATCTAATTAGACAGAAACAGCCTCTGACACTGTCCTGCACGAGAGACTGGGAGTCATAGCAGATTTACCTAATACATATTCACAAATCCAAACAGGTAGCCAAAATGAGGAGACAAAGAACCCCCAAATAAAAGAACAAGAGAATTCTCCAGAAGAGAGAGATGGAATGGAGATCAGAAATTTATCTGATATAGAATTCAGAATAATTATGGTAAAGATGCTCAACAGCATGAAAAAAGATATAGTAACTATGAAAACAGAAATAAAGAATGACGTAGCACAAATAAAGAACACATTGGAAGAAATACACAGCAGATTAGGGGAAACTGAGGATCCAATCAGTGAATTAGAAGACAAGAGTTGAAAAAAATCACTCGATTAGAGACCGAAAAAGAAAAACAATTAAGAAACAGGAGGACATCTTAAGAGAGCTGTGGGACAACATGAATGTTGCAATATTTGCATAGCAGGAGAGCCAGAAGAGGCAGAAAGGGGAAAAGGGATAGAGAATGTGTTTGAAGAAATAATGGCAGAAAACTTCCCTAACCTGGTGAAGGAAAAGTCACACAAATTCAGGAGGCACCGAGAACCCCCAGCAAGAAGAACCCAAACAGGCCCATGCCCAGACACATCATAATTAAAATGCCAAAATTAAAGACAAAGAGAGAATCTTAAAGGCAGCAAGAGAAAAGCAAACTGTTACCTACACTCCCATAAGGCTGACACCTGATTTCTCATCTTAAACTCTACAGACCAGAAGGGAATGAATACTGAAGGTAATGGAAAGCAAGGATCTGAAACCAAGGTTACTATATCCAGCAAGGCTATCATTAAAAATAGATGGTCAAATAAAGAGCTTCCCAGACAAAGAAAGACTAAAGGAGTTCATCACCACCAAGCTAGCATTACAAAAAATGCTAAAGGGACTGCTGTAATGAGAAGAAACAGAGAGACAAACCTAGGCATACAGAATTAAAATGGCAATAAATAAGTACCCATCAATAATAACCCTAACTGTAAATGGATTAAGTGCTCCAATCAAAAGGCATAGGGTAGCTGAATGGATACAAAAACATGACCCAATTATATGCTGTCTACAAGAGACCCACCTCAGAACAAAAGACTCACACTGGATGAGTGTAAAGGGATGGAAAAAAGTTTTACATTGAAAATTGAAAAGAAACAAAAGCTGGGGTAGCAATACTAATATCCAATAAAACAGACTTCAAAATGAAGGCCATCACAAGAGACAACAAAGATGAGTACATAATACTGAAGAGATCAATCCAGCAAGAGGATATATCCCTGATAAACATATATGCACCCAATATAGCAGCATCTAAATGTATTTTTAAAAAACTTCTAGAGGACTTTAAGGGAGAGATTGACAACAACACAGTCATAGTAGGGGACTTTAACACCCCTGTGACTTCACTGGATAGATCTTACAGACAAAAATTTAACAAGGAAACAGTGATTCTAAAGGACACACTGGATCATATGGATTTAATGGACATTTATAGAATATTTCACCCCAAAGCTGCAGAATATAAATTCTTCTCAAGTGCACATGGATTATTCACAGAGATAGACCACGTGTTAGGACACAAAACAAGTC